ATGCAAAATAATTGAAAATTTTCGGAAAAAAAAATTTCAAATATTATTTTCGTCATTTATATTTTCCAAAAAAAAATAAAAAAAATAAAAAAAATACCAAAAAAAATAATACATTTTTTACATATTCTAGTAGAATATTAGAATATTATACATATCTGACAAATCTAGTAGAATATTCTAACATTCTAAAAATCACATTAGAATATTTACAGTGTAATATTCTATTAGAATATTTCACGTATTTTAAAAAAAAAACGACAATTTTTATTTTTATTTTTTTATTTTTTTAGGTAATTAAAGTGATGAAAATAATAATTAAAAAAAGAATTTTTGGATTTTCCTTTTATTTTGCATTTTAAAATTATTTTTAAACTTGGTCTCACGGTCTCACAAAATTAGAATGGTCTCAAATGAACTTCAACCTATATATATATATATATATATATATATATATATATATATATATATATATATAATATTTGAATAAAATGTTGTACACAAAATAATTGTTTCTTTTTTCAAGCCCGAATAAATATATGAATGAGATTAAATAACCACATTTTATTCTTATATTCTAAAAAAAACATATTTAAGGATATTCATAAATTTTAACAATATTCATCATTTTTATAGCTTAATTCATTAAGTAATTTTATCCGGATTAAATTGATAAAAACAGTTATTCATAGTTGGCATTTGAGGTTATCCCAAACTTCCTCTTTTGCAGTTTTCCAGTTATTGAAATAAAATAAAGATTAGGAAACATAAAAAGATAAAGTGCCTTTAAATTCATTTTAATGCCAAAAGCTATATATTCAATCTAACAAAAATAAAAAACTAAAAGGACCAACTTTACTTGGAAGCTAAGCAAAGGAAATAAAACAAACTATTTTCTTATTCGAACGTTTGTACCATTACACACTATCAGTAAATTGTGTCAAGCCGTTACCTCATTTTAATTAATAAAATAGTTCATAATTATATCTTATGTTCTTCTTTTATCATATCATCATACACACGACACCAACAAAATACAAATGTTAAATGACCATAAGGCCCATGGATAGAAAGAACAATCCACATGCCCCACACCATAGCCAATTTTAGAATTCATGTAAAAAGGATAAAACAGACATTCACAGAAAGAAAGATTCTTCATGCTTCCATAGATTCCACTATTATCACTTCACACACAATGACAACTCTATACATGTTGAGTAAAAAGGATGGCTCAAAAAGAAGCAGTAGAAACAAGCAAAGCCATGATGATATAAAGTAAAAGAGAATTTGCAAAAGCGAAAAAGCATAGTTTGCCCCTCCATCACCCTTCTTAAATTATGCTTTTAAAGACTTCATAATCTTAAATTCTTAATCTTGAAGTTTGATCTTTTTAAGATGCTTCTTCTTCTTTCAAACTTAACAAGAAAGTTTGATCTTTGATTAATTTCACTTCAATTAGATGCAAGCCATTTGACTATAAAGTTAAATTTTTGACACTAGTAAAATACTTTAATGTTCTTGCTTGAAACCCATATATAAGAATATGGGATGATAAAAAAAAAAACAAAACAAAACAAAATGACAGGGTCTATTTAGGGGTGCAAACGAGCCGAGCCGAGCCCGAGCCTGGCCAGGCTCGGCTCGGGCTCGTTTAAGTTATATGAGGCTCGAGCTCGAGCTCTGCTCGATTCGAGCTTTCTTTTACTGAGCTCGGCTCGAGCTCGTAAAGAGTTATACAAGCTCGGCTCGGGCTCGGGCTCGACTCGTTTTTATCTGGCGTGCCTAAATAAGCTTAAGCTCGGGTCGAGCTCGTTTACTAATACCCTAAATTCATAATTCTCCTAATATGTTTTTATTTTAATATATATAAATAATAATAAATAATATTATATAAAGGCTCGTTTAGGCTCGCGAGCCTAATCGAGCTTTGTGACATAGGCTTGAGCTCGAACTCGTTTAATAAACAAGCTTAATATTAAGCTCGAGCTCGGCTCGGGCTCGTTTAAAATCGGTTTCGAGTCGAGCTTTTAATGATCCGATCTCGAGTAGCTCGCGAGTAGCTTGGCTCGTTTGCACCCCTATGTCTATTTAACAAAGTTGTCTCCTTTTTACTCTCTAAACAAAATAACCTACCATTTTCGCTATAGGTTAATAATTTCGAATTCTAAAATTGTTTTATATGTCATCATAAAAAAGTCAAAATAATATTACGAAATTGTTCATATTTTGAGATTTGATGATGTGATTTCAGAATAAAAAAAATCAATTTCTTTGCAACATTTTTCTTTTCTCTGTGTGTGTGTGTTTTTAAGTTTTTTGCCTCATTGTGTTGGTAAAAGTAACTTCACAATTTACTAAAATTTCCTAGTTGACCAGTTACAAAATAAGTGGTGATTTTGTTAAAAATAAATAAATAAACTAAAAAAAGAAAGATGATTAATTTGTTAATGATGCCACCAATTTTGATCATATTTGTGATTATCTCACAAGAAATTCCCAACATAACCAGTTCTCCAACGATTAAAGAAGCGCAACCGATTGAATTTCAATAAACACAAAAGGTTTGAATCTTTAAGATCATGTCTAATTTCAAGAAACACGCTAAACACTAAACAGGACTGGATTTTCTCATTTAGAGTATAATTAAACTATAAAAAAGACTAGTAATAAATTATAAATATGATTAATTAACAAGAACTCATTTCGTTTCATGTACCTTGAATTCTGCTCATCCAAGGTAATTCCATATCAACTGAAGATGGGTTATGCATTTGATTCTCTGAAGAACCCACAAATTTCCCCTTTTTAGACCATAACCAGATCTTCGAAACTGAATAACTATCAGTTTTTGCCCCAATGTTAATCTTCTTCCCTTCCCTTTCATCGCTAATCGTGATTTTTTCATCTTGATGATCTTTTTTGTGATTTAAAGCCAGCCGGAGGCTCGAATCACCGACAACATACTCATATGAACCCATCGAATAACATCTTCTCGCATCCAAATTACTGCTACTAGTCTCGCCGCCGGCCACCTCACCTCCGTCGATCAATTTCCTGAACTTACCAAGCCTCACCAGAAAAACCCCTTTTTCAGCGATGATATGTTCTTGGACTGTTTTTGAACCGGGTGCTGACGCTAAACCGGTTTCATCTGCTTCCCTCATTTCATCAAATTCAAAAATCGGGTTGTCAATGGAGAACCCAGGGTTAAAAAGTGTGTTTCTGCAAAGAGGACAAGTGGAATTCGATAGGAGCCATGTATCGATGCAGTTTATATGAAAAGCATGACTGCAAGTTGGAAGTAATCGTAATTTGTCCATCTCGGAAAACTCAGACAAACAAACGGCACAATCGAATGATGAGTTATTAGCACCTACAACTTCCTTGTACATGAAAACTGGTAAGGTGTCGATGAAGGATTGTTCTAGGCCTGAATCATGCAAATGAAAGAGCTGTTGAAGCTGCCTTTGTAGTGTATGATCAGGGGTAGATGGGTATCTGTTAGATCGAAGAGAAGTGATTGAGGTTGAAGAATGGTATTTTGTCAAGAATCTCACTAACAAATGGAGCAAACCAGATATGAAAAACAAGACAGCCAAGATTATGATGATGATAAGAATTACTGGACTGATCTTAACACCTGGAGAAGATGAAGGGTTTGCTGTTTTATGAATAGTAACACTAAATGGAGGTGAAAAAGATGATATGGGTTGATGGGATTCCAGGAGACCATGTTTCTTGTAGATTTCGTATTCAAACCAAGACATTTTTTTTATTTGGGTATGCTTAGGAGTTAGGATTTAGGAACCCATGTTTTTTCTCTAAAATCTATCAAAACTCCACTCATATTAAGCTAAAATCCAGAAAGATATAACCTTCGTTCTCATAAATAAGCAGAAGAGGTATCTACCAAGAACTTTGTGTTGAACATGATGCATAATAACAAAATCAATGTCCCCCTAACAAGAAGATGTCTTCTAAGGGGAGGTTATGAAATCTTTAAGAAGTAAAACCGGTTTTTACATAACAAAAGTTACAGGAGATAAAGAAAGGACAGAAAGGTTTATGATATATTTGGTAAAGTCGTAAAGAGAAGTGAATGTATGCTATGCATTATATATTGGGGAAGCAAAGGACGATCCAAAGGGTGGCAGTGACACCAACGGAAAGAACCAATTAATGAAGAAAGCGAAAATTAAAGATTTGAGTGAGAGATGATGCCACGCGATTTATGGGCACAAGTAGCAGCACGGGTTTGAAACTAAAGTGACATTTTTTTAAGCAAGTGTTTTAATTATAAAAAAATAATAATTTTAAGGATCATAATCTTGTTATACACTATCATAAAAATGATCACATGTTTTTTTGTGTAATATAGGTAATTGATCCAATTTTTTTGTATTTGTTGAAATGACTACGATGTCCAAAGTATGTTCATTATGGATGTCGGAAAAGTCTCATTTCATTTGTAACTTACATTTAAAAAAAATATGTGTCGATTCGTGCCTCGTAGATGTTTAGTATTGTCATTTTTCAACGAAAAGACACTTTTTTTCATGCCTTTATATCATAATGTATTTCGGCTTTGGTAAGTTTTTGAGTTTTTGTGATGTAAATCTCGCATTCCACGAATGTTCTTAGGATTTTAAGCCCGAAATGCTACGTTGTAACACTTCTACTCAAAAAATGACATCATATATTTGTAATGTTTGATATATTTCATGGGGTTTATACTTTACAAAAATAAGGCATTCGTTAGTATGATGCCTCCAAATTGTAGCATTTCGACAATTGGTTTCAAAAATGTTTTTCAGATTTCCGAATCTACTTTTTAATATTCACACAATGTTTTGTTTCTCTTCTAGTTATATTTCATGGGGTTACACAAAAAATTCATTCTTCAGCCGGATGTTCCCGAATTGTGGCGTTTCCTAGTTTCGTTATCGGACAAGTCCTGCGTATTTCTGATTTTGGGGTTTAAAGTCATATGTTTTATTGTGTATTCTTTCATTGTGTTTGTACATGTCAGTAATAGTCGAAGAATAATCTACAAAATTGACGCTTACGGGGAAAGAATCTAAAAAAGTTTCATTGTGATTTGTCAATGGTGCTTTTTACAATTTCCTGATTTTAGACCTAGTGAGCATAGTAAGAAACCTATGGGGGGATGCGATAGCCTAGGATAAAATGTGCCCCAATAAAGACACTAATGACACATTTACATCACATCGGTTAATAACTATTCCGTTAGGATTTAGTATAAAATGTGTGCAGATAATGACTCTTATAAAATGCCTATTTGTTAGTTGGAGGTTTAGGGTTTAGGATTTATATTTTAAAGTGCAATGTATTTCGTTTTGGTTAGGTTTAGCTTTTATGCTTTATATCGTATTGTATTTCGTTATATATAAATGAAAGTTTTTGTTTTTCATTTCGTGTCATATAATGTCTTCTTTAAACTCCTAAGCTTGTTTGTGATTTCACAACGCAACTTGTCGAAAGAAGTTGTTAGTATAACGTATTTGGCATATAAGATGGAACATGGTTTTGTAACATCCAGAATTTCAGGTATAATTAATTCAAATTATTTATGAAGTTTTATTGGCCACAACGTGGGATAGGCATCCTCACGACGTGACATGGCCAAGAAAGATCGCAAATGAATTTGTGCCTCACGACGTGACATTTTGTCTATCACGGCGTGGCAGTCATCTGAGGGCAAAACCTTAATTTTCCGGTCTTTAGGCCCTATATAAGGAAATTGTGAGCTAGGGTTTGCTCACCCTCAACCTCCAACACCTTCCTTTCTAACCCTAATCAGATCTAGCCTCCATTGTTGAGTTTTTGAAGAATTTTGTGGTGTTCTTGGCATCTTGAAGGAGAAGGAAGCTCATTTGGTGCATTCTTTCATCTAGTCAGCCTCATCATCATCATCATCAAACACATTTGGACATTTGTAAGTGTTCAAGATTCAAACTTTAGGTTGAATGCTCTTAGATCGTGGTTCCTTGTCCCTTATTCTTCATGTTGTGAGAGTTTGAAGGAAGGGATTTCATAAAGTTGGCAAGTTTATGGATCCTTGAGGTCCTTCTGGTGTTATATGTTCTAGATCTATGGTTCTTTGTGGTATTTGGTCTCATACACAAGTTTGAGCTCTTTTTTCCCTTGATTTTGACCTAGTTTGGAAGGGACATGCATGCCCATAAAACGTTGATTTTTATGTTGGTTTAGAAGTAGGAAACCTTTATGGAAGTTACGGACTTGAGACTTTAAGGATTAAGTGCTTAATGGTTGACTTCATGACTTAAGTTGCCAATAAGAATCTAGGTTTAGAGACCTTAGCTTATTGGGATGTATTAATGGATAAAGTTGGAAACTTTATCCACCAAGACCTTGGGGAGAATTAGATCTGAGCTTTGGAGCTCATGGAATGGATGGAAAATGGCTTAATCCATTAAGCTGTTGAGAACCAGTCCTCACGACGTGACATCCTGGCCGTCACGACATGACGACTGTTTTGTCTTTATTCTACCACGAAGTGGCCAGTAGGAGGCCACAACGTGGTGAATCATTGAAGTTGACTTGGAAAATTGACTTTAACCGTTGACTTTTTTACTCTGTTGACTTTTGGTCAATGTGCTTGTTTTAGAAGGTGGACTAAGTGTTTAACTTGTATGATTTTTTACGTGGCTTTTAGCACCTGTTTTGTATGTGAGAGTTGGTAGCTATTGACATCGTCTGAAAGGTGAGTGTAACGCTTGATTTCCCGATATGAATTTATTTCCAAGTTGTTTATGTTTTCTTTTTGGGACACGACGTGTTAGAGCCTCAACACGGCGTGTCAAGATGTCTTTGGATGCAGAGTTTAATGAGCCCACACGACGTGTTGGCAGCTGGGAAGGAAATCCTAATTTTTAGGGTGTTACACCTTATTTAAAGGCCTTAAGTCCCCTTGACCGGCCTCCTTACCAGCCTCCTTTGTAATCTAAAACCCTAAATCGAGTATTGAGTTTTCTTGGTGGTGTTCTTGAAGTTTTGAGTAGATTCTTGTAGATTTTTGTGCTCATTTGAAGGAGCTTTGGAGTTTGAAGGTGCCTAGCTTGGAAGGAAGGTCATAGATCCAGAATCTCACCACTTGTTGCAGTCTCCTTGAGGTATCAAGTTCATACCTTGCTTTGTTGTTGATTAGATCTTCTCTTATGGGGTTTTGTTATGATTTTTTGCTCATCGTTGGGTTGTCTAAGGAGTTAAGTTGTTTTATGGGTGGTCTTGTTAGATCTGAGCATTTTGTGACCTCCTTTGGCTAAAAGGTGCAAGCTTTATAAGATTATAGGTCTCATGCATGCATTAAGTCCTTTATTAAGCCCTCCTTGAGCTTTAGAGCTTCTCTTTGGCATGCATGAACGTAAAATTGGCAACTTTACATGGTCTTCCAGCTCTAAGGTGTCAGAACTACATTTTGGGGTTATGTCTTTGAAGATTAAGTGCTTAATGGTTAAGCCTTAACTCTAATAAGCCTAGGGTTTGGGTTTTGGACCCATTTTGGTGGTTCCTAGGGGTAAAGTTGGAAACTTTACCCTTCTAGATATCATTTTGGTCGAGATCTGAGCTTTGGAGCTCTTAGATTCGATGAAGGCAGCTTAATGTATTAAGTTGTTGGATTTCAGCGAACACGGCGTGTTAGCGTGGATTTTCCCAACTTTGTAGTTGATGGAGAAACACGGTGTAATGAAGGACAACACAGCGTGTTGGGTCAACACGGACTGTTGACCTTGACTTTTGACTTTTGACTTTGACCAAGGTTGACATATAGGGGGTGTTGAGGCATTTTGAGTTGTATATAAGGAATTGTTTCCGTTTAGGGGTTGGGTAGAGCTGATATTCAGAGCCGAGACCTATTCAGCTATCGTTCAACATTCGAGGTGAGTTTCCTCTCTGGGTTTAGCGGGTCTAAGGCACCAATGTCTGCCCTTATTGATTATGTTAGGATGCTAGGAGTCTGCGTGACCCATACATGTGTTATGTGATGCTATGTATACCGGACGAGGCTTGATTCCAGGCGAGGCCTGAGGACTGGAACATATGCTAGTGTTATGATCATTATATGTGTTAGTATGATTATATGATAGTGACTGTATGTGTATAGCGGGCGAGGCCTAGTGACAGGCGAGGCCTAAGAGCAACAAATCCGTGTACCGAGCGGGGCTCAATGCCAGGCGGGGACCCAATGTATGATTTATTATGTATGGTATGGGGTATTTTGGGAAACTCACTAAGCTTTGTGCTTATAGTTTTCAGTTTATGTTTCAGGTACTTCCGGTGGCAAGGGGAAGAGCTCGGGATGACTGCATTGCACAGACCATATGGATTCGGTTTATGGGACACACTCTGATTTTCCTGATATTTGACATACTTATTTTATTCGAGTTTTATGAACTATGATTTGAAGTACTGTTTTCACTTGAATGAAAAATGAAATTTTTGGGTCGTATTTTTGGGTTGTTACAGTGAGTCTTCTCACTATACTATGTAGGATGTTAGTTGTTTTGTGATACTTGCATGGAAGACCCGGGGGAAAGCCCGCATTTGTATGAAAGACCATGGGGGTAGCCCATGACACTTGTATATAAGAACACAGGGGTAGCCCATGACAATGCGATGAAAGACCATAGGGGTAGCCCATGACATTGTATGTAAGACCATAGGGGTAGCCATGGAAATATATGTATGGTATGTGGTATTTTAGGGAACTCACTAAGCTTTATGG